GTATAAACACCTATCTTTGTATACCTAATCATCTCATGCGTGCACAACCCTCTAATTATCGTGAACAGTATAACACAAACTAAAAATGTCCTTTAATTTTCTATTGACATTATTTTTTCAACATGCGGATACAAATATCAATTACAACATAAATTAAACAAAACAGACACTCTGCACGGTCTGTTAGTGGTATATCTATTTGTTCAGCTGTGACACAGGACAGTTGTTTTTAATGGGTGTCTTGTCTGGCTACTACACGAAAATGTCATGCGGTAAACCACTGCGAAAGCACCATCATCGGCTATGTTCATACGAACTTCTATAACCCGATTCTAATTACATTTTAATCACCTTTGCTGTCCATACAATGCGAGTTCATATTCACCGTTTTTGTCTTCTTCATACACATCGGGATATCTCACAAAGAATAGACATCGAACTAAGATAAGATTGTGCTATCCATACAGTGTGAGCTATCTCGGTGTGTTAGAAAAACCCTGCATAAACTTTGATACCGTATAGACAGCAAATTTAGATGACATTTAGTCTGTATACAGGGCGTATCATAATAAAGGATATTGAAGTTTAATGACGATTTATATGAAAACTACTGATTTCATAATCAAGCATTTTATGTCTGTTGTAAAGGACAGAATGTCCTCTTGATAATGACACCCTGATCATACTACTACTGTCACAGTTGACTGAATAACAAAGCATTGCTGTCCACCATGTGAAAGGTGCACTGTGCCAAGTTTGATAACATTTCCTTCTTAGACACATAATCCACTCATTGTTCAGCATTTCAATATGTCTGGGCTGACACAAGCACTAATCTTTTGAATTTATCTGTGAATGCTAACTTGTCACAGTGCACCTTTCACATGGTGGACAGCAATGCTTTGTTATTCAGTCAACTGTGACAGTAGTAGTATGATCGGGGTGTCATTAACAAGAGGACATTCTGTCCTTTACAACAGACATAAAATGCTTGATTATGAAATCAGTAGTTTTCATATAAATCGTCATTAAACTTCAATATCCTTTATTATGATACGCCCTGTATAGAGTCAGATTGTGGTGTGAACAGAAATGCGGCATGAGATCTCACAACGTATAGACAGCGAGTACGTTGGAAATGAACCTTGTGTCTAAATAGGGCATCGACCTGCTCCGTGTAGACGTTGTCTTTAATTAAAATAATACCATATTTTAAATTCCGGCCCCGTCTATTTCAGTGTAATCAATATCAAACTCAGACAATCAAACGTTAATCTGTTTGAAAACAGTTTATAATAGGTAACTTTAATTAAAATATGAGTCGGGTTTTTTCTAAATATTCTCTTTTTGTCCACAGTCATAATGTAAATATAAGTATAATAGCAAACGCTCAATGCATTTCACATCCGCATTGTGTCACCCGCCATTATGTTCCCATACAATATTCAAAGAGACATCAATATTGCCATATGTAAAGAATATTTTCATTGTTTCACAATTAATATCCTTATATGACGTCAATACCCAGCTTCCGCAGTGAATAATAGAATGTGTAATGTACCGTAGCAATATACGTATAAATTCATCTCAAGGCATTCACGATATATGATATTATGCATGCCCCAAACCGTTATCGGATTGTGTTACGTTTGGAATATGGATTTGTTGAAATGTCATAAAGATAAGAAGATTTGATATGGTATTAGGGTGGGTGTCTATGACGTCGAGATCACAATAAAAATATTTGCTCGAACCTAAGTTATATCATAAGGTCGATTAAAAGATACATTTCATACTAAAGTTTGCCTATTATTCGATGATTTGTTTTTCTTCATACGCCCTTTCTAATCTCTTTACAAGACAAATGCCTCATCAGACATCAGAAATGATGTTAATCAAAGCAGTATAGTACCAAAATTGAGAGTAATTATGTGAGAAATGTTTAAGGAAATGGCAATAACAGAAATAAAATAATCGATTTAAAAGAGAAATTAACAAAAATCATCTGACATGCGGTAGGTGTTATCACATACAACTGACAATGAATTTAGTACTGGTATTATATCATGGGTATTGCAATCTCAATGTGATTTTTCACCATCAAAGTGAGGTACCATATAGACATCACGGAAGAACATTGCACAACAGAAGCTGGTGAAATCATAATGCGTTTGTTTTTCAATCTGATGATTGATTCACCATCATGAACTGATTCTCCTTCTTTAGGAGCTGATTAGAAAAGAAAACTAAATGGCAATGAACTCTTAACATGGCGATGATATACCTAAACGAAATATGATATGTGGGACAGAGGAATCAAAGAATGGCAGTGATATACCTACACGAAATATGATATGTGGGACAGGGGAATCGAAAGACTTCCACATATGCCTTCGTGATGAAATTAATTTGGAAAATTTGTCAGTAGCTTTCAGAATTTTCTTGCCGTCGGGCAACTTGTCTTTTATGGCTGACAAGGCGTCTGAACGCTGGAATTGGAACTCATAGAATCATCATCATAAATGAATTGATTAGGATTATTGGGCCTGGCAAGGAAAGTTGGCCTACGGGGTTTGTCGTATGTTCATAAAATATCGTCGCGTCGGGTTACGCGCTAATAAAGATCAGCGGGATAACGGAATAACCATGTGAAACTTAATCAGTATTGGAATGAAAGCGATGGCGAGAAGCAAGATACCGGTTACCTTGGAATAGAAATGGCGGGAAAGTAAATCACAGATATAATCATGATATAGTTTTTCAGAGGCAACAGAAAACAAGAGGATGGTCGTCAGATTTTGTGGGGATTAAATGTTTTGTCTAATGTTTAAATTCAAAATAAAATGTCGTTTCCGCAGTTTCTCTTGATCGTCACAAGGATATTCAATAAAAGCATACGATTCTAGATTCTCTTCAGAGGTAATGGTTACTGCAACGCCCTCATAGTAAGAAGACGTGACCAAATTCCATTTAGGAGCCCCTTTTAAGGCATGAGCCTGGGTCAGGGAATCCTGAATCCGAGTTGGACATTGTACTTCGACAAGCTATCCGCTTAATAACTACCGAAGGTCAAGTGTATTATGATAATCTTTCAGTTGAACCTCTTTAATAACTCTAACTATCAATACACATATAGATATAAAACTCCATATTACAAGATAAGCTTCCCGATTGTTTTCAGTGACGGTAACAGACCTTTCAGGTGTACACGGAACCCATATACCATTTACCAGTTAAAAATGTGGTTCACCTTGTATAGTCCTACATCCTGTATATAACCACAATATCCCACTGCTGATGTAAAATATAACAACAAACCTATTACCGATCCAACCACTAATGCAAAGCCTAACTCTCATCGGTACCAAGACTAATGGGACGGGGGACTTATAGGACTAAACATATCCCTTTGGTCATTAGCCATTTTGGACAGAATATTTTCATTTGTCCTTAGGAAAAATGGGTAAGGTTGGAGGAATGAAATATGAAATATGGTACAAATTATATCTATTACGTAAGATATACATATTTCTATACCGTTTTCATTGATAGATTCATACCCAGCTGAGGTGGAAGTATAACGGTAAGAATGTTCGGAATATATTGCTCATGTTTAATTACATTAAGTTCAATGTGCTTCCAAATTGATAAACAGTTATACTTTTAATACGCAGTGTGATTCTTCTAATCCTGGCAGAAGTGATGAGAAAAAAACTCTTGTTTGCTATGAAAAAACCTCAAAGGTGCACTGTACAATCCTTATTGTGACAAGAATGATGTATGTTCCTCTTCAACTGCCACCGCGATATTTGTCATAAATTATGGCGTACAGAAAACATCAAGTGATTTATTTGGAGAGGGTCATAACGTAACTATACGCCAGACGTACGCTTCCTGTGTTTATCATATTGAGTCTTTGATTGGTACTTGGAAAACTCCTGTATCTTGTAAATTTTAATCTCACTCCTTACTCCGAATATGTGATCAAATCATGATGGGCCAGACAAGCAGAATTAAAGGAGGTTAATATTGACCTCTTTAATGATTTATGTTTAACTTAAATTTGATTCGTAATGTTTAAGTGTTAAAAAGTATCTACATAAATTATAAATACTTTTGTTTTTAAATACGGAATTTCATGCGATGGCTATACCAATATAATATATCACAGTCGAAGTCACAAGAATAGGTCATTTTCGTAGTTAAATCAAATAATACTTAAGTGCCTCGATACGAATTATTTAATTCTCCTGTAATTGGTAATTGAATTTCAATGGTCAAAATGAAAATTGTTTTTAGGTAGGGCAAGCCTTTATGTTTGTCCTACGTAGCAACAACACAAAAAGGCGCATGCGTAAATGAGGTTATATTACGAAAATGGCCTATCGTATTTCGTTACGATAAATTACTGTCGGTGTTATTGTGTTACACTCAATTTTGACGTACCAAAATAAACATTTGATCCACCAGTAACTGGAATGATATACCAGGCTAATACTTTAGTACCATTTCCGTTGTCATAAAGATCGATGTGTTGGCAAAGCTGACATTTAGTGAACTCGACTAGCTAAATAACAAGTACATCCCTAAGTAAACTCTAACGGGTCGTAAACGGTTAAGAGGCTTCACACTGGTCTACACCACTAATACCTGACTGACATTTTGTTTGCGTTTTAGACAAATGCCATCACTTCACGATAGAATTCAATGTATTTTATGGTACAAACTGGATGTTAAACAACATAGACTGGAAAAACAAAAATCACATATTGGTAGCATGTGGTCTTAATACGCCACCAAAGCTATTCATTTCGATAAAGATGAGGCTTATAACAGTGGCATGACGTAAAACGTACAGGACTTCTATTGTGTATCGTTTTCAATATGTGTCAGTTTGGAGCCAGAAAGTGGTTAACTCTGTGTAAAATGAAACGAGTCGACACCCTTCTGGCTCCAAAAGGAAGTTCTATACTTTCTCAAATAGTATGATCGAAACTTACCTCAACAGGACTGGATATCTTGACGGCGCGGCCAGTCTCAGCAACCTTTCCAATCAAGCTCTCACCAACCTTGACTATAAGAGATCCTTCTGGATCTGTCTTGCCAAATCCAAGTAACCAATCCGTAGGGCGATGTGTAGGAACTCCTGGTGAGAGATCACGTTTCTTTGATACTAGCACTTCCTTTCCTTTAGGTCCTTCCAGCAGGAATAGTTCTACGCGTTCGGCGTCCACTAGAATACCCACATTAGAGAGGATCTTACCACGGAGACTGTTCAGGTCTAGATCATGAGAGATGTCTTTGACAAGAGCCAGGAAAAACTCGCGTTCGTTCGCTGATCGTAGCTGAAGCTTTGCTTCGTGAGTGATGCTTGTGCGATGCGGGAGTCGTACCCGAGGTTCCAACAAAGAGCTCAGAGTACTTGCAAAAGTCTGGGGTGGTGGCACCGTCGAGGCTCGACGTAATCTTCTCCTGCCTGCGAAGCCTTTGCCAGTGCCATCACCCATGGCTCTCTCCTTTGGTGACAATGGCTCAGAATCTAATTGCATAGAACTATCACGCGCACCAGTTCCAGCGGCCCACGTGCTGAATACAGTCTTAGAGCGCGCTTTCGCAAAGTCCTGTCTTAGGTATTGCCTTGATCCTGATCGGGGTCTAACGGGGATGTTCGCGATTCCTTCATCGGATGAGTTACTTTCAGATTTGTCTTCCGGCTCGGACAATGTCACTCTTCTGGTAGTTTGAGGAGACATGGGTGGTATCGGTTGTATGGGTGGATTGTTAATAGGACTTGGAGAACTTGGACTTGGTGTATTTGTTGGACTAGAAGAACTCAGAGGTGAAGCTGTATCTTCATCTTTGTGTAAGTCCAACCACTTCTCCACCAAGTCTCTGTTGGCACCCTTTAGAAAAAAGTCTTCGAACCAATCACGGTTTGCATCAAGCCATACCTCAACTTGCTTCGGTTTCATGACCTCCAGGTCACCTTCGGGCTTCCTGGCCTCCATGTCTGTCTCAGATTTCTCTGTGAGGCTTTGAGATATCAGGTCGACCTGGGCAACATCCAGCATACAGATTCGCACGGTATCATACACGTTGCGAAGAAACCTCCACGGTATGCAGTAATAGAAATTCATCAAGTGTCATATTAGTATCAACAGCGGGCAAGAAAAGGGTAAACTGATGAAGCACGTTGACTCATCCGCATAAATTGAGAAATAACATCACGTGACCTTGAAGATCATGGACCAGACGACCTTGAAGACTCACATTCCAGTAATGAAAACAATCGATCATAACCGGCTCGTCTCGGCAGCGATATAATCCTCAAGATATGATCACCATCTCTCAGTATTTACTCCATTGGTAGAACACCACCAGAAATCCCAACCATATTTGACTTGCCGGAGTGACCTCTGGGCAGCTGCCGACGCTCGATTCTCACGCGCGCGATATAATTAGGTGGTATCGATCGGAACGGTTATATACCGAGATGGTTCATAGATCTATAAAAGATGGTGACAGTGTGTAGACACGTGCCGAGAATGAGTGCATTCGAGTGGACCAGATATGATGGGGGAATCTATAATGAAGCGAACTCACTAGTGATCAATAACGCGCTCACTTATGGCAATGACGAATAGTTCTCCGTCAAAGCAAAACACGCGATTCGGTTATATTCCAGACAATTATTTCCCAGGTAAAGGAGGCTGATCTTCAAAGGTTGGGGTTTATACTGAGCACACGAGTTCCCTCCTAACTATTCGGTAGGTGTCGTTTCCATGAAATATTCCTATGACATAATCCGCACATGGAATCAATCTGTTTAGAGGTCTACACGATTCTGTAGATATAAAGAAGAGGGAAAAGGAAATATATTAGTGACAACAATGAGGAAATATTTTTAGTATGAAATGGTTTTAAGATTGATAATGCCACTTAGGGAAATTCCGTAAATAAGGATCTCTAATTGAAAATAATTTCCTTATGATGAACGCAATTGGAGTGGTAATAACATGAAAGACTAGAGTTCGCTTTCAATTAACTGTACAATCAAAAATCATGTGTTGTACGTGTGCAGTAGTCCGGAGACACAATAATGAATGGTGTTGTATGCTCTACAGTCTTTACCAGCGTGTTAAATAAATAATAAAAACTGTTAACAAAAAAGTACTGGTAAGTGGTTACCATACCTGTTATCGGCTATTGTGGAAGGTGTGTGAACAAAATCGATTCGTGCAAGAACACGTAAGCACACAAACTTCGTATGATTTCATTCAATTTCAGCGTTTCAGGAAATTGCCCCACTGCCCTACATATCAACCCGTGGCATACCGGTAAAATACTCAATTATTCATCGGTGTGAAATATTTAGTATACTCTCCTAATCTAGACGATAACAATCAAGCGAAGGTTTTAATGAAAAAGAGGCACTCGTTTCACTATAATGAGCTGCATAAGATAGTAATACACACATGGGTCGTAAAACATGACAAACAAAGAATATAGGTTCCCGGTGACTCGAGTTTAAATAGGCCTAATGATTTGTCTTTCTCAAAAAGAAAAAAGGAAACGACTCTTATTGATGGCTGAAATTTGTGTCAACAAATGATTCTTTTTATAATCAGCAAAATAGATCAATGAAGGAGGTGATATTCATGGCGTGGGTCGAGCCCACTGTTAAGGAATTATATCTTGAGAACTTCATATATCACGACAATCTCCTCCTGCACACTACATATTTCTAGATTCCAAGTAGTAAGAGAATTTACACGAATATACCCGAAATTTCTACTAAATCTTCTACTTTAGTCGATAAAATTATTCCATAATGAAGATGAAAGGTGAAGGTTTCCATCTATCTTTCTTCGTAGCAATCTATTTCATGTACAACCCCAAACCACGTTCCGTCTTCATGCGAAGATGTCTAACCGCCACCACTTCCGATCGAGTTTGAATTCCAATTGGCGTGTCTTCTTCTACCCTCCCGGCTCCGGTCGTAGCTTGTTGTTCCTTCTCCCTCCGCCCAATCCTCGCCCCCAACCTTTTCCATCATCCCTCCAGGAGCGTCCAAACACTCCCTGAAGGAACCAGCTCTTCGCCAATGATTTATGAGGCTGAAAATCAGGCTAACTGTATGCATGATCACAGCGACTAAGTACATTAGACTCCTCTTGAATCAGGAGCCCTGCGAAACTTGATCCTGGAGATCCACGTAATCAACACGCACATTTTCAGGCATTTTGTCTCCAGTTTCCCTCAATTTCTCCCCGAAATATGCAGTCGGAGTGAGCGCACATCTATCTTGTTTATCATCAACACGGTAAGAGGTGCGAAGATACCCTTCTCTAAACATGTGCTTCTCTGTTGAGAGCGACGACTTTTATATCCTCCACCTCATCAACGTGATTTCACCAAACATAACACTGAAGTTAATGACATTTAACTAGCTATTTTACCTAACAAAGTAATGAAGGCGTTACAGATTTAAAAGTGAAACTATGGCGTCATTGATTATCATTATCAGAAGTTTTATCAGATATAAATTAATATATGTATTTTTAAACCTAAGCATTAATTAAAATTGGAAATATATCACTTTACCAAAATGCTTTTTATTTTAATTTTTATCATCTACGGCTATTGTAGTTATTTCGTTCCATAAAACATCTATAAACGTGCTCCAAAAAAACATCAAACATTTTGGGGAAATTTGATATACAGTAACACATATTAATGTTACCCTAAAGTCAAATTAAGGATAACCCATGCTACAGCTGAAATATGAAGGAGGTACGTATCCTCCAAAACAAGACCGACTTAGAACTAAGTACCTACCTGGATTTCTGGTAGCTTTCCAAAGTTTACTCGTTTCAACTCAACAACGCAAGACTCAAAGTAGCCACCAAGATTCCACCATAAAACCATATTGAACAACACTTGTTTACGCGATCACTAGGCTACTTAAGATCCAAAATATCCTTCGAATAAACCCATACTAGTAAAAAGGTTTAAAATAGCGAGAAAAACTCCGAAAGGGCTTCCATGCCGTTATTACGAGACAGATTTACAAAGGGCACAGACGAAAAGGCCTTTCGCTCCCACCCGATATCACTGCTCGCCTAAAACTGATTGTTGGTGTTTAGCAGCACGTTCGTATACTTACCGAGCGTGCATCGCCGCCGCACAACCAAATAGAACTCACTCCTTCCGTAATAGAAGTAGAGCGCATGCGTGCTGCGTCCCTGTAAAATTGGTCATTATAAAATGGGCGAGAGATGAGCTATCTTTGGTTTGCGATCCCATGCATTATCATTTAATGAACCGTTAGTAACAGACTTTTTTGCGGGAGACGGTCGTTAATACAAGAAGAGGGGCTGAAATCAAAATGTATCTTTTCACCGTATCGTTGCCATTTACTTACACCTCCCTGGTTACACAGTGTCTGAGCCCTTGTGTCAATATTACCAACGCTTCACCTACTCGGAGCGATATACGTGTTTGCATAGGCCTTTAATGAGTGTAATATTGTATTGTAATAACTTATCAATAACATTTTAAACGGCTTTTTGTATATAGAAACTTCATGCGTGGTCATTCGATTAGATATTCATCTTTGTGATTTACATGTATTGTATTGTATTGTATTTATTAAACTGTTTTTTCTTTGTACAATATTTATTAAACTTCATTGATGAATCTGTTTATAAACATATACATCATAAAAATCAATTTACAATGCAATGTAACAAATCAATATTTTGTTTGTAAACAGATATATCATAGAAATTAATTTACAATGAAGCGTAACAAAACAGATGGAAAATTATATACAGCAGAAAAGGTCTTTTTCTTCTTGTAATACCATGACACATAATGCATTTAGTAAATAATATAATGTACCATAATACATCCGAAGATTCAGATATATAAAACCTAATAAAGCAATTTTCTTAATAGATTATAACTCATGCTACACAAAAAAGGTATAATAAGGTTCATGGAATGCAATATATAATCGTTTCGCCTAAAATAAATGACGTAATTGTACCTATACATAATATGCGACCTACTGAAAAATTAAACCAAAAACATAAGATGTACATTTTTGCCGTGTCTATATAGGTTGGTCATTATACTAAAATTGTTACACTTCAAATCCACAAAAACTTCCTATGACATCTTTTCACACATTTGCACTGCAATCATGATTATGGTAAAACAACATTCCCTCGATCTTGAGTATGTATGTACCTAATTTAGCTTATCCGTGGTTGCAGAGCAAAAATAATGGTAAAGTATTAGTAAACCAATGGTAAAGAGGATTACTAGGATGTAATCGAGTAAAAGACCTAGTTTGTGTAATTATACCAAATTAATCATTAAAAAGTAAATACATAAATAAATAAACTTCATGATACGACACTGATTTCCTTCCCCTTCTCTTCTCGCCACAGATTATCTCGAAAATTGAATCGGTATAAGATGTGAACACACTCATTACAGATGAGTTTTATAAAGTTTCAATGGGCAATCCAACCTATTTGCAACTTCATCCTGTATTTTTTTTTTATTCTGCTGTTTAAAATTGCTATCTGAACCAAATATTTAGTTATAATGGGAGATAATTACAGATTAGAGGGCAACCCGCCCTTTGAAATAAGTTCGTCTGTATGAAAGGAGAAAATAAGAGAAACAAAATGGTGAGATGTTGAATAAATTTAATTCATAATAGAGTGGTAACAAATTCTTAAAATATTAGATAAATAAACCTATGCAAATCTCGAATTGGCAATTTAGTCAGTGGATTGTGACGTAGTCAAGGACATCTCTCCCGTGTGTCGAGTACAAAAATATCATTAATTTCTGTTTTTTCATAAGATATGGGGTACTACTCAAAATATATTATGGTTAGCATATTATTTTAGGCCCGCTTAAAAGTTAAATTCCCTAATTGATCATACATGTTGAAAAATGTACATGTTTTCATTTTGTGTGTTAAAACTAATGAGAAAGGAGTCCAGCATTTATGTCAAGGTGATATTACCTATTCAACCAATATGAAGCGCCCATATATACGTATGGTGAATTCAACTATTAAAAAATCATAATTTTCTTATTGTTTTTTCCGATTTCATTCAATCTTTCACCAGTCTGTTTCTCTGATTTTGTCTGCTTTCTTTAAATTAGAGTAGTTGTTGGATTTTCCTGTAAGTAAACATTTCAACTACTGTATGACCTGATAGAGTTATTCAGGTTACCCGGTAAATATAAATAACCAAGTTAATGCAGGTGTTTTATCTGCAACACATTGAAGATCACAGTGTCTGGCCGCTGATTATCAGTTATAAATATATCATCTTCCATCAAAAGGTCTGTAATATTCCATCAAAAGGTCGGATGGATAAGACGTAAGCAGGATAGAAATAACTGCGCGTAAAAAAAGACTAAAGAGAGGTGATTGATACGATTGTCCTTGTTTAGATATAAAATTTAAGTTGACAGGTTTCTTGCTGTGATTACGTACACGTAAGAAATATATTTAAAATAGGAATGTAAAACACAGTTTTGGACTTAAAAGTGGCATCAACAATTACATAACACCGCTTCATTTATATATGAATTCGATTTGTTAATACTTGTGATATTTTTGCAAAACTACTAAATTTACTAATAATAGTCAGTATTAGTTAAAGAATAAGCCACACACATTGGAAGTTCAGACCGATTGTTATAACCTTATGACATCTTTCAATAAAGTTACAGTTTCATTTCATAAGGATATCATTTGAATTGGTATGTTTTATAAAATGTGATTCTACATTTTGAGATACTTCATGTCAAGATATTGTAACGCGCCTCACTCTTTAAAATAATCTAGAGTAAAGTATGGCAAACCGGAAAACGACATCAAGATTGATCATTTGGATATAATGCTTCGGGAGCGCAACATGCTGCAAAATAGAAACGACCTTGAGAGAAAGGAAGGCAGTTATAAGCTACTAGAAGCGTTTGAAATAGACAGAATCTTTCCCCAAAAAAGGTTTCTGTTTCACTCGCTATTTTGTCTACAGGTTTCTACATTCTTAATTTCGTATCAAAGATATCCATCATCGGCTGATCATGCAATCCCTAATAAACAGGCAGATAATTGGATACATTTTTCTTTTGTATTCTCGTGTCTTTTTCTTTTCTAATGTATGAACCCCGTGAAGATGGCTCAACACTAGTAAAAAAAAAACAGATTGCATTTCCTACTCCCATGACTCTCCCTTTTTAATGCAAAGCGCAGAGTCACATTTTTATTTACGATTTTTTTTTTTCGAAAGCTCGGTCCGAAAGACAGCGGATTAGAATAAATAAATTTAGAATTCAATCTCGTACTCACATCTACATTTTATTTACTGATACATTTTCTTGTACATGAATGCCTTTTAAGCCTAATTCACATATTGCCTTCCTCTTTTTCTACGGATACCCCGCAACTACAAATGAATCATTATCATTGTGGGCGTAATATTCAGGTTAAAAAACGCTTTCAGCATCATCCGAGGAAAAAATGACATTGTGGAAAAGCGATTTCTTTCCCCCCCCCCCCCCCACTCAATCTTCCCTTACTCATTCTAATACTCTGGCTTTCCCGACCACATCGTCTTGTGTTTCTACCTCAAGCCAGCAACCTGTTGGTGTATTTGACCTTTAAATAAGCGATGACCCTTTCATCATGGGCGCCGCCATGAAGCAATCACATCCCTGGGAATGTCTGCAGGGAGATTGTCCGCCATTGGCTTGCTATCAACTAGCTGAGATGTTGAAGAAGAAGAAGGAAAAAAAGATCATCTCAATCTCGAATGAATATGTGTGCTAAACCAAACATGAGTTCGTTTCGGGTCAACGTGGATTATTACGCGGAAAATGACGAGAGATACGATCATACATATGACATTTCAGAAGTGAACACGTATGGTATACGGTATTAATTATTATCCGAGTTGTGATGGTTGGACAATTTTCTTCATCTCACTTATAGAAATACTCACGAATAACTAAATATCGCTCTATTTCGAAATGACTGAAATGGAGTATTCATTTATTTTTTGTTGTTGCTTTGAATATGCAACATATCACTTTCCTCACCAATTAAACTATTCAGTTCGGGTTTCGATTTTGTTTTCATCGCACTTATATAAATACTCACGAATAACTAAATTTCGCTCTACTTCGAAATGACTAAAATGGAGAATTCATCTCTTTTTTGTTGTTGCTTTGAATACGCAACATATTGCTTTCCTCACCAATTAAACTATTCAGTTCGGGTTTCGATTTGTTTTCTTCTTCAAAACCCATTATTGAAAGTCACCAATTATCACCGACACACATTTCATATCCAATTCCCTAATTTAATAATTATTCCCATTATTATACTGGAAAAATAGTAGCATTATACTTGTAAACGAATTGTTAAGCATTTCAATGCGTTTTAACATTATTATCTCTCGTTATTGTTATTTTTAAATTATGTTTCTTTGCATTGCCTATCTGCAGCATTTCAAGACTATAAGGATGGGTCTGTTTTTAGCAATATCGATCGCAGTGTATGGATGCCAAGAAATACAGACATACGATGCCCGTTATCGATACAAGCGATCGATTTGAAGGACAGGGACGTGCCAGAGGCAGAAAGGCATCATTTTCTGAAAATGTTCGACTTCTCTGATCTTTCTGTACCCCCATCAGCTTCAACATGGAGAAAACTTTTCGTCTTACTGACAGGATAGATTGTGATAAAAAATAGGTTTTATCCTTTTGATTAATTGTGTACAGGCTTCTTTGATGATGAGGCCTCTCTCCACGCGTTCACTCAAGCTTTTGTAAATGGGAAAGCAAAGTGTTGCCACATATGAAAACATGAAATTAATAGAAAGATAGTTTAATCACATTTACTGAACTAAGAGTTGTGGTTTTCTTTGGATCCACAGTGATTCAAACTGTAGCAGTGTGTACATCCAAAGTACATCCACGGTGTGTAAACCTCGCATTGAATTAAAGTCTGTTACACTGTATCGCAATGTAACCACAGTGTACAAAAACTGCAAGCAAATGGTGGAT